AACCCAACAATAAGCATTTCCCATTAGATGGTAGGCAATAAGCTTTTCAATTATTGCTCTTGAAAATCATAATCTCTGCTAGATTTTTTTTTTTTTTTAGAATCTGCTACATGTTCTTTCTTTTCTCTCATGGAAACCATTAGCCTTTTAAATAACCATGGGATTATAATTAGAAGCTTAGCTTAGCATATGATGATTGCCATTTAAGTTAGTGCCAAATTAGTCAACTGTCTGTTTTCCTGCCTTAAGATTAATTATTCTCAATGAGATAAGCTTCATATCGATCAGCACAAGTCAGAATCCTCTGTACTTACACACTGTATATATTCACACATATGTACATTTACACATGCATGCGTGCATGCCTAAACAGACTCATAGCCTGATAACAACTGGGTGCATGCCTGGCTAGTGGCAGACCTTGGATGAGCTGTTGAGATGATTCATGCACAGGATCATTTTCCTTAAGAGTGCCCATCCCTGCAAATGTAAGTATATATGTAACAGCATTAAAATATAGTATATCCCTTAAAGATTTGGGAAATTTGGTTACATACAGAAAGGGGATTCTATTCAATTTCTCTAGGCAAAAATCTTTTGTTTGTTGAGAAGAAATTAACTTGGAAGAGACGAGCATGTTGTATGTGGGGATGGTGCTTATTTGTACAATGATTACGCTCGTGGCTCCTAAACTTTATGAAGAGGGGCAAAGAGGGTGGCTAGGAGGCTATAGCTAGCCAATGCAAGCGCAAAGCGATTAAATTATGTGATTTGATAAATCTAAGAAAGGATTAGGACAAAAGAATGAATGTGAAGAAAGAGAAAGAGAAAAAAAAAGGAAAGATTAGATTAGCTAAGATAACAATAATAATAATAAACTGTAAAGAAAAGGTCCCAATGAAAGCAACGTGCGTGCGCATTGCTTCTCGTCCCCTTTTCCTCTCTCTTTCCTTCTATCTTCCCTTCAAACTCACGAAATTTCTGCCATTCATTATAGTATTGGATCGCATCTTTGCATATCCCATCATCAAGTTTCTATATATATAAATTAATCCATTAGGTAGCAAGCGCTATGCTTGCTATATATGCACAAATATGCAATTGCCAAGCATGAATATTTTAAACATAAATTAGTACAAACGTTTGGCTTAGACGTCATATGCTTTCCTTCGAGAGGATATAAATTCCATAAATAATCTTAAGATTGAATCTCTCAAGTCCTGCTTGTGAAGATAGCTATATATCCCTAATCGTTTTAGAAAGAAAGTATTTATCATCCAATTTCAATCAAAGTACTCATTGTTCTTCCTTTGTCACCAAGTATTATATATGGACCAATGAAATAGGCTTTGGAATTATTATATGATCACCATCAAGTTTCAATACAAGTATAGGTATTTTCCCTATAGTTCTAAAGCAACGAGAGGTATAACGGTGCTAAATTATGGAACTTAAGAAAGCAGAGACCGAAGGAAGGTTCAGTCTCTTAGAGACAGTACTATGGATTAGGCCTGTGCAAAAAGGTCGAGAGATTCCTTTCAGGTCATGGGGCTGGTGTGAGTAATGTGAAAGACGAGATTCCATTCAGATCAATGAATACCAATTTTTTGGGGACCCAAAAACCCAACTATATGTTCATTGACATGCCCTAACAAGGAAAAAGTTCCTCACCCCCATTTTCCCACTCCCATCATCCCACCAAAGAATGTATCAAAAGATATTCCCCGGTAGATGTAGTCTCCATCCTCCACCATCCCCTTGGATTTGACAGATCACAATACAATGTTTCCTAGCTAGCTCGAAAGTTGGAATGTCTAAATATGGTCAACTATATATGATCTAAATTACAGAATTTGTTTGCTAGTAAATAATTAAATTGTCCTAACGCAAATTCACTTGACAAAGTCATCACTTGATTAATCTGGCGAAGAGTATAATGGTCCATGAGCATATATATGCAGATGTACTATGAAGATTATTTGTTGCTTTTCTTTCACATAGAAACAAGTTTAATAGTTCAAATCAAACCCAAAACTTATATTTCATCATCTAAGTCCACCTCTCTCTTTTCTTTTCTTTTTTAACAAGATGAAATATTTCATACTCATAAGTACTATACATGCATGCGTATAATATATATATATATATATATATATATATATATTATAATCACAGATTGAATATTAAAGACTTTGAAAAGAAAAGAAGTAGTTGTTGCACATCATATACTTGATGGGTGTAGCCGTAGCATGACTCACATATAAGAGATGGTGGTGGCCTGATCATTTCGATGGCTAATTTCGCGCTAGGATTGTTGTTTTTGGTGGCTTTCGAAATGGATGCGGATTCATTAATTATCATCAATTACAAGAAGAAAAGATGGTGCCTCGTGGCCACAACTAAAACCCTGTATACTTGGAAAGGATGGTTTGGAAGGACCATGTATTTCCATCATTTCCTTTGGATCTTCATTTCTGGTGTGGGTCACCCTCCACACTTTGCTCTAATCGAAACCCTAGATTGATCGCTTTGCCCCATCCCTAACCCCCTTTTGTAGCGTAATCCCAAGCCTACTGATAAAGCCACCTATTATTTCTGGATAAATAACTCACGGTTCCATTACTCTATGTTGCTATTTCATTAGTTAAAATACTCAACAAATGCTGAATAATAAATGAGAAGAGAAAGGCAAGGATGGAGGAGGAAAATGAGAAAAATGAGATTCAACCATAACTTTTTAAGCATGGAATATGTAAACTTAATATTGTATCAAACATCGGGCGTTACCTTGAGATAAGACTTCATCAAATCTAATATTTCTTTTATTTAATTATTATTATTATTGTTATACAAAATAAGTTCCATATTTAAACTACTCATGTATCCTTGAAATTGTGGTTGCCTTTATAAGTTAAGAGAGTTGATGTATTTTGAGAGGTTTTGGAGCATGACGTGGCTGGCTTGCAAATTGTTGTTTGCCACGGTTTAATGTTTCTGTGAGGTTGTAGTGCTTCTTATTATTGCTTTAGGAGACCGGTGGTGACTATACGTGGCTTGCGATGGTCTGTTATCTTCTTGTTCTTACTTTTATTGATTCAATCAGGCTGGGTTCAAAGATTAGAAGCACAAAATGAACATTGAATTTCAGTTTCAGGTTTTATGTGGATTTGATTGGGGGAGAAATTTACTGTATATTTTACACGCATTAATGTAACTAACACATTAGCTTCACATGCCAGCACAAGCAATTACAATCAATTGGATTAACCATTGTGAAGTTTTGATCAATTTTGACAGACTGATTATAGATGTTAAATCAATTCAAGTGGCTCATGATTTTAACATGCTAAACCCTAATATTAAGAACTTGGCATTAATTAAAGTGAGGAAAGCAAAGGGTTAGCATTGTGCAACCAATCATGATGAAGTAGCAAGGGTGTAAAGTAATAGAATAGGATGCCTCTAAGCATAGGGCAGAAATCATTCCATTAGCCCAAAAAGAAAAGAAAAAAAGAGAAACAATCTTTGAAATTTTGGTTTAACTTAATCCACAATGGAAGAATAAGGGTTGTGTTGGGAGTGGGAAAGGGCTCCTTGGGCGTACGGAAAGCTTGGTAAGAGCAATAAAAAAGGAGTGCTCAATCAAAAATCTTAAAGCATTCAAATCACAGCATAATATGGAATTAAATAAGCACGAGCACCAATGATTATCTGCTTAATGCCTTAATCAAACTTTTGAGGACATATGCCATTCACACGTGAAATACTGGCGGACACCATCCATCACGTGCAACTGTCTCCTTTTTCCTTCCAAGTACAAGATAAAAAGATTGATATACGACAAGTTATTAAATGGAAAAATAGTAAATACTTAAAAACACATTTCTCAACTATTAAATACTTAACTTGATAGAAAGCATGTCTTTTCATGAGTTATATAACTGATGTCATATGTGTAGAGGTAATTCGATAAAGAGCAGGAGCCAGGAAAGGAAAATTATGTAAACATATATGCATCTCAAAAACAGGATATAAAGGTAGAAGACAAGTCAGGGTGTTAGTGCAAGAATTTGAATCCACATGAAAGAGAGGGAGGCATTGGTAGGAGATAAAGCATAAAGCAAGGATTATTCGCCCAGGAAAGAAAAAGAAGAAAGGGAGGCTTCGTGCTTAGTCTTAAATGGGTATTGGGTGATCCTTGTAAGACCAAAGAACAGAGCTGAGAGAAAAGCCAGGGGGGCAGGCAATGGGGCATCAAACATAGACAGGCGAATGTGTTTGGCGATCCCGAGGAAGAAAGCACCCTACACCTACCTCTACACACACACACAACAAAGCCACCCACAAGGATTCCTCAGCCTGCTTTCCCTTTTTCCCTCTAAATAAACGAAGGCAAGCCAACATGATCAAAAACGTAACAACCTCTGATGCAACAGCAATGATGCAATCTTGCAACCCTTCAATAATAATATTAATAAACAAAAAGCATGAAAGAAACAAAGGCACATGCGTGGATCCACCACAGACTGGTATGTCACTGAAATATGAAAGACCAAAAGAGAGAGCTTTAGTGATTGAGTGCAGTGGGTAATAAGTTTCAAGTTCTGATTTGTTCTGTTTAATCATTCAAACTGCATACAAATCCGACAAAAGTACTTCCTATGCTAATAGACCATGTATATCGAAACCCATTTTGGCAGCTAGACTAGCATGATTGGTAAGACCTAAAAGATAAGGTCCAAAAGCAAAAGGCAAAGCTAGACAAACAATTGTACAGTTTATGCGAAATCCTTGAGGAAAATTGTTACACTAGACAACATTTCTTTCTACAAAATCCTTCAACTGGGATCACGTTTGGTTTCTGATTACACAATATGCAGCCACTTTATCTCTTCTATATTAATCTTTCCAATTTAATTAACAAAGATAAGCAGGCCAGCACATAAGTTGTTATCGGTGGCTTAGTGCAATTTAATAAAAACAGCCAGAAGAAAACAGGCTGAGATTAAACACCAATTATGCATTCAATTAAAAAGATTGTGGGTTATTTCACAAAGAAAACTTTAAACTTTCTATAGCTACTTCACTCCCTTACAAGAGAAAGGGTTAGCTTGATACTATTCAGAAGTTTGTTGTCCAGTTAAGATGACCCAATTGAGGTTGTTGGTAAGCACCTACTTGAGCCCCAGGAGCAGCTGGCGCAACCCCAACACCAACATTAGCACCCATAGCAGGGCCTAGATGTGGATTTGCCATTGCAGCAGGCTGTGGAGGAGGATGATACAACCCCGGGAATTGCATGTGAGAAGATTGTGCTGCAGCAGCATTAAAAGAAGCATGGCCTGTGTGAGATGGCATATAACCATGAGGTGTTTGTGGCATATTGTAGTATGGAGCAGACTGCAAGCCTGGTAGCTCCCTCGGGTTCTGAATCCAGAGATCTGATGTATCAGCCTGTCACATTCAAATGCAGTAAGCAAAGAGACTATGATTGAAAATCAAACCAGCCAACTGAAGAAAAACTATATACAGCAAGGACAAGAGAACATTTCCAACCAAAGAAACACATGCAGAATAACAGAAACTCATGGTGTGTGAAACACGCAAAGATATATCACACTGTAATGGGCAATAATCGAATTGCACCTCCAACGGGCAAAATTTTGATATCATAACTCCCAAACAAAAAGTCAATGCTCAACTAAATTTAAAATTCAAACTGCAAAACTCATGGGTGAGATCCTCTCTACTACTTCCCTATATATTCTTCCTTATCATTCAAGTGTGTCGGACCCAGTCATTGACAATGAACTGCACAGATATGAACAGTGTCTATGGGTGCATGGAAAGTAACGGATGACAGCCAAATCCAAAAATGAATAACCTGACTCCATAACTAGCATTAAGCAGTCTATGGCTGTGGTATTTCAGGGTTCAATCTAATTTGGCTACAAACACAGAGGTCAATCACTTGAAAAACTTTGAAGAATTAGACATATCCTAGCTATTTATCTTGCATAATTTGCGTTACTTTTTGCTCACTGGTCGGAACCTTTTTTGGGCAGATAATTAATCACCATGTTGCTCTGACAAACTGATTAAACTGCCAACCCAAAACCAGATACCACAGGCCATTAAATAACCCTCAAATCACTGTCACTAATGCCTCGATATTTATTTTATTAGCTCATGTTCTACCGGCTATTAGAGCGAAGAACAATTTTTTACCTGTTGATTTGGAACATAAATATTGCCATCTTTATATTTGATCCGAGATGAATCTTCAAGACCTGTTGGATTCCCAACTACACCAGGAGCATTGATTGCATACCCAGATGGACTGGTAAAATTTCCAAACCCAGTAGGACTACCAGCAGGAACTGGCTTGAACTGCTGAATCCCGTACTTTAGGCCATTCGCATTAAGATGAGAACTACCTCCTGGCATCAGCACATAGCTACTACCATTTGATGGGTGTGGATAGGCAGGGTTACTGGAATAACCTGGCATCGCCATCTGTGGTAGATAAATCGGGGAGACAAACTGACGATATGGCATAATATTAGCAAAATGGGACACATGAACTTGCGGATACATCTGTGCTACCGGTGGTTGTTGCTGCTGCATCATTGGTATTGTTGATGCAGGGACATTAACAGCATGCGCACTTAAGGCCTACAATTATCATTTGGAATTTGCATCAAATTGAGGTGATAAAAATAAACAAACAAGCCTTTCTAAAATGAATTCTGATTCTTAAATGCATGTAACGGCACTAACCTCCTGAGGGGATGGTAGACCCTGTCCTCTAGCAGTTTCATCTATTGGGGGTCTGAAATATGGTAAATCATAACCAGTTTGCGGATCATATGCCTGCTATCAAGCCAACACCACATCAGAACATTCCATTCAAGGAGCAAACAAATAAAAAAGGGTATTTATTCCAAAATTCAAATTTGCTTTATGTCAGTTTCACTGACTAATAAATTTCATAAATACCCATTTGGGCAGGATCAGGCATTATTCATAAGATTCAACGTACCGCAAAACTAGGTAACTCAGGAGCATCTTGCTGCTTTTGTGACTCTGAAGGAGCATACGATGGACTGTTGTCCTGAACCAATCCAATATCGGCATAACCGTCCAAATTCTGAGGACTTGAAGTGTCTTTGGTATCAGGCAATTGATGTTCAGAAGCAGTACCAGAGGGTGGAGAATCGGATCCCGAATTTCCAATTTGATCTTCTAAAATCTCAATGGGCTTGCCACCAGCAGTATCATCACTAGAAGTATCAGGAGCAGACACAGACAAACTGCTTAGATCAAATACAAGAAGAACAACATCAGAAAGAGGTCTTGACTCAACAACAAAATGTTAACTTTAGAGTTCAGACTCTACCAAATGTAAGCAATTAGTTGGGAGAAAAGACCAACCTAGCAGCAGATTCCCCATTTGAGTCTTCTGCAACACCAGTGGCTTGAAAACCCGGCACAAAATTCCTTAAAGAATCAAATTCCACTCCAAAGCTGCCGAAAGTAAGTCTACAGCGATCATTCTCTGGGACACGAATGTGCTGTGCTATGATAACGTTCTCATTTTCGTAGATATTTACTTGCGAAAACTTATCTTGCAATTTAGCTGTTTCTGAATCCAAGTCCTTGGCATCATCAGCAGGAGGTGAAGCAGACTTTTTAGGTGTTCCAATAACTCCAGGATTATTAACACTTGATTTTTGGCTCAATTTTGGTTTCCACTCTTTATTATGTTGGTTAGCTGCATCAAATATGCACGATAAACTCTCCCATAAACTTAACAAACAAGTTCAAGTTAAGTGCTATAATAACTACAACCTATTGACAGCCAATTGTTAAAATAGTAGTTTAAAGTGATAAAATTATACCTAATTTGATCAATGAAAGGATGAAAAGCACTCCAATAAGAAGCTTCTAAGGTAAAATGAAGAGCCATTGACTTGATATCTAAAACTATCACTGCTTTACTGTGTCTCACATTCATAAGTATTTAAACTCAATAGACATAGAAGTTCCTCACACTTTCAAGAAGCTTAAAATAATTAATGACTAATCATCATTAAGTTTAAAGAAACTGCATTTGGGTTCTTTTTAACACAACAGAAACATATTTACAAAAAAATTAATAGTAATAATAATAACAGAAAGGCATCAAAGCCACATGCTACAATTACAACCACATGATACAGCAATAACCAGCACATAATTAGTTAAGTTTTTCTTTAGATTCGTTTTCCTCTAGTATTTTGTAAACACACTTTATATTAACACTTTTATTTTATACACAAGGGAAAAAATACCCAGGATAACAGTTTTAAAAAAATATATAATCATATCAAACCTACACCTTGACCAACACAAAGGACAGCTTATGAGATGGATGCTCATAGTTGAGAGCAAGTACCTTTTTGATGACCTAAGGCTTGTTGATTTTGCCTGCTCCCATACTGATTGCTCAGGAATGACCTGCTTCCAGAAATTCCAGGCATGATCGATTCAGTTGCACTACTATGACTGAGCTGGTCTGCTCTAGAAATTGCAGGAAAAGGTCGAAATGCCTCTGATGAATTGTCCCTCCCTACAAGTGAATTGGAGAGAGAACCACTTGATCCAGATGAATTTTTTACTGCATTTTCAGAAGGCTGACGGCGAACACCCACTACCCCGACTTCACGCTTAATAGCTCCAACAGCACCAGAGGATCTCGAATCAGGAGAAGGCACATGAACAGGATCTGTAGAAGAGGAATAAACCCCAACAACTAGGCTGCTTGATGACTGAGTGGCAGCATGTGCTTGAGTATTATTGGGCTTCACTGCCTGTGACCGCAAAATGGCATTAGGAATAAAATTTCGCTTTTCCTCTGATATTTGTTTCCTATCAATACCACTTGAATTTGCATCACGAGCATGTCTCGGTTGTGAACTGGATGGTCCATTAGAAGTTTGAGACAAACTCCGAGAACTAAAGGGTCTCTGATTGCTTGATGTTCCTGTTGAGCTGCAGAATGGTAATAAAAAAAGAATACTCAGTGCACGTGATTTCACAAGGTCTACAACATCAGTAAAAATAGGCACAAAAGAATAAACAAAGCTTAGGGTTCAGCAAAAAAAAGGCTAGAGTGGAATGGCAAATAAATTACTACCAAAAAATCATTACCCTTTTTCAGCAACATTCACAGGCACTTGCTCATTTGCAGAAGTTGAGCATTGTGAGAAAGGAGGCTTCATATCTTTATTTGCATTTTGGTTAACTCTGTTGTCCCTCACAATACGAAACTCTCTGTTGACTCCTGCATCTAGTAAGGCACTATTCATTAAATAGCAGAAAAAGGTTAAAAACGCCTCATTATAGTCAATAATCAGCAGCTGACGACTAAATGGTAAACAATGCAACAAAAGAACTGTTCTATGCATGAGAAAAACTAACACACATTACATGTGTAAAATATATACAAAATACGAAAAAAAACACCTTAAACTGTGGGATTGAGTGGAAGGATGGAAATCCAATACTTAAATTATAAAAGCCTTCCAGCTTTTGGTAAATGAATAATAAAGAAAAGTAAAAATATATATCTGATGAAGTTGAGTACAAGTTACCCAGAAAATCTCACCAGATCTGCATATTGCACAAATTGCAAAACCAAGACATCAGACATCAATATACAATGACTGTCATACAATAAAGCAAATCATTACAATCACCAATTTCTCCATTATCCATCTTCATCCACAATATTAAAATCAACTTTTAGCAAATTAACAATGAAGGAAATAATTAAAGACACTTAAGAGTTCCTAACTTTAATCCTCACTCCTTGATCATGAGGCAGAATAGTGTTTAGCTCGAAGAGACTACATAATCAAGCATTACTTGCCAATAAAGGTCAAATCGTTGAACACGTTATCTTAATGAATTACCTGGCAAAGCATTGCGAGTATAGCCTCCTCTTCGAGAACCACGTTCAGGATGTGTACGAAATTTCATCCCTTGACCAACATTCTCAGAATGTTTTCTTGAATCCAAGGAACCTTTGTACTCAATGCTCTATCATCATAAAATGTCAGATCAGAACAAGTTTTTCACATCTGTGCATTAACTATCTAGAGGGTTTACATTTCAAGATATTATATTTAATAGGAATTCAAGGCATCGGCATTTTCTTAATTGCTATGGATACAAGATCAATCAAATATGTAAGTATCACAGGATACATTAATAGCAGAATAATATAAATGATTAAAACTTCGTAAACAGAGGCACCTATCAAATACTGAGAATGTGTGCAAATCAACAAATAAAGCTCATATTAAAGTGTGCTCTACTTACCACATGTGATGTTGAAAAACAACCCTCTATTGCTAAGAAAGAAATGAAATGCACAAAAAGATTTGCCAAAAACCATATTAGGATACTACACAAGATTATACCTCTTTCTTCCGGTCTCTTTTTCTCCTTACTTCATGAAAAGTATCTGAGAACAAAGAATGAGAATCAATATAAATAAGAAACATTTACAGAGTACATTTAAAATATCATCTAAACAAAATAGGAAACTGAAGCCACAACATAACCAGAAGGAAAAAAGAAATTATCAACTTTTGAGAACTCATACAGAGCTCAACAACTTCTATTGACCAATTTACCACTTCGATGAAAGTTTCCCAAACAATACAAGACATGGCCAATCCCCTCTTAACATCATATGTGTGTGAACCAACCACGCTCACAACTTCACCACGCATGGCACGGACATAACCAGTGGACAGACATAATCCTCAAGTCTATCCAATGTATAATGCCAAAAGCGAGAAATCAGCTCAGAAACAAGCCAATGAGGATCATAATGCCAATTTTACAACATAGAAAGATAAGCTGCTTACTTGTCATGCATCAAATCACTGAGATTGTAAGAAAGGACAGTAATTACAATAACATGATACCTTTTTGTGCTGTCTCTATCTATAGGATTCAATAAACTAAATAAATCAATCAACCTTGAAAAGCATAGATTTTTATTCTGGGCTTGTGCTAATCTGAGCAACCAAACTAAGTTTTAGAAATAATTGATTGATGGTTTATCAGCGGGCTCAACACAAACCCACCAAGGCAAAATGCACCTAGCATAACAAAAAGAAGAATCAATACCCAATCTTTGAGACTCAGTAAAATGCACCTACTATAATGAAAAGAAGAGCACCATGGCAAAGCAAATGAAAACGAGTATCATCAAACGGGCAAAAACTACATTATCAGCACGCCAAAACATCCAGCAATAATCATCACGCCCTAAACCTCCTCCATAAAACAATAATAAACTTTCACACCCCAAACCAATACAAACTAAAATAACTCAATACCTTAGTAACAAACCCAAAAAAAAAAAATTACACACACACAATTTGAACCAGAACAATCCTAAGTTATCGACCTCAAACTCCCGACACTTAACACCACCGCAGAGCAAGCAAAACTCACTTCCCAAAGCACCAAAACAAAACATAAAACACCAAAAGAACAGGCAACAGCAACAGGATGAAAAAAGGGGGTTTTGGGAAAAAAGTTGACCTTGATGAAGCAATTTCTGGGTAGTTTCATTAGGATCCATGTTGGCCTCTTTCAAGGCAACATAAATATCAGCATCAGAGTGATTGCCAACTATTTCCTTAATTGACTGTATTGTCTTCCTCACTCGCGCTGAGATATCTCCTTCGATTCTTGCCCCACTGACCATCTCTCTCCCTCTCTCTCTGTTTCAAAATACTCCAAAAGAAAAAGAAGAAAACTTTCACTTTCCACACCAATTATTTTTTTTAAATACAAAAACCCAGTTTGATAATCCAATTTCTATTCTGAATATAAAGTGGGTTTCTTTGATTATTGCTATATTATTAATACCCTTTAAAAGAGCAGAGCTAGGGTTTGCATTTAGATAGAGAGTGAAGAACGGCTTTACAGGGAGAGCGAGGTTTGGGAGCGAGGGTTTTGAAAACGTTTTTACTTGGGAAAAAAATTCCTAATTGGGGACTGCTTAATGACTGATCTGCCCCCCTCCAATTTTGTATATTTTCTGTATTGCCCTTGGATTTACAACTTTTTCTTTTTCTGTGGCTTTGGTTGGTATCAAAGCAAGTTAAAGATTGCTGATTTAGAGGAAATAATTATTAGGAAAACCTTGAAATTACTTTGCCCTAATTAGGGTTTTCCTTGTAGGAAAGGAATAATCTTTAGTAATTTTTGTACACTAATTAAGTTATCATAGTCAATCATGCCCATCATTATAAACCATGTTTTCTTTTATGATTAGCTGCATTGCTTACATTTTCCATGATCATCAGTTACTAATCATATTCTTCTTTTGATCCTTCATTGTACAAAAATAAAAATAAAAGAAAAACGTTATTGCTGCAATTGTTTGGAAATTTTTTCTTCTATTAAAGCTCAAAGCCATGGGAAAATTGGCAATGAGACGTGGAATAGCAGGGGACTACAAGGCCAGTAGAGGGCAATTTTCAAAATTTTGAACCTTGTTTCACCACATCATTTATCATACATTAAGAATGCAATTTAAAGCAAAATGAACATCATGATGGATTGAATCATGCACTACTCATTTCTAACGCTATTAAATGATTCATCTATTATGAGTAATTTTCAATTCAGTTTTTTTTTAATTTTTAAAAAGTAAAAAATCTTCAATTTAGATTTTGTTTCTCGAGAAAATGGAAAATATGCGATGTGTTTTCTTTATTTCGGTATTGATTACAGTAAAGTCAACTTTATTGTAAAATTAAAAAAAGAATAATAAAAAACCTTGTTAAAGAAATTAACAGATAAACGATGTATCTTATTAATTTTATTTTAAATATTATATTCAAAATGCATGTTAGTAAAATAAATTTATTTTTCCAAAAAATTAAATCTAAAACAGATAACGATTCATTGCTCCCTGGGCTTTTATAGCATATAAAAGTTGGGCCATTGGATCGCATTGCAACAATGAAAGCCTAAAGGACCCTTCTTAGAGGCCCATCTGGGTTATGGGCCAGTAATAAAAAATTGTTTAGGTGTGAAGCTAGCAAATGGTTTCCACCTTCAAGCTTTTTCGACTGAAGATGTAAAATGGTATTTTTAAAAATATTTCTATTCTGTAGGAACCAAAAAAAAATCCAAAAAAGACAGTAAATGTGAGAAAAGTGGAAGGTCTAGATAGTAGTAGTTGGATGAAAAGTACAGCTGTGAGTGAAAATGAGCAAATATTATTTTGACTAACGTTTCCCATCATCTTTCAATGGTCAAACCCCAAAGCGACCCAACATTTGCATCCAACCACATATGGGGAAAAAAAGGAAGGAAAAAGAAGAAAGAAAAAGAAGATCAATAATTGAGGATATGACCAATACGCAGAGTTGATACATTGTAAGCTTTGTGATTAGTTGTGCCCAGGGGCACAGGAGTTTCTAACACCACTTTGTTAAAAGGAGACAACTTCCAGATGCTGGTCCATCTCATTGACTTGCTAAATCTCACAAGTACTGTTCTTGTATCCTGGCTCGGTTTTCTTCCCACCACATCCTTGCATGCATTTCTCCAAACCTGTCTCGGCTGCACCACACATAAAAGAAAAACAAATGAATTGAATAGTAAATGGTAAGCTATCTGCTGCTGTTTGCCAATGGGGCGATGGAGAACCGGAAAATTGGAGTCCTGGCTCACAATAGTGGGGTGGGGACTATATGCAAAAGGCCCACAATTCACAGCAGGATAACCTGGGAGGTGAGGGGACCAACATCACAAGCGAAACTAACAATAATAAGGCTTAGGTTTTTGGATCCTTCACGGACTCCAGGGAAACTCTTTGAACTCCCACTGAGACCAAACTAAATCTTATATTGGCGTCAAGCGTCGTATTGTTTGCTTCTATAAGGATTGTCCATTAATTAAACGGAAGTTATATAACTCAATGCTAATTATGATGCCAATATATTCTAGCTAAACATATGGCAATACAGCAAACGTCATTTGAAAAAAAGAACCCTCTATTCAGAACTTAGTTCATGGAACAGGGTGCAGGTGAAAATAAAGCCAGGATGGGTTCACCGTATAATCAGCTATTGGAATTGTTAAACTATTATCAGTTAATAATAATCAGCAAGGAAACCTTGGACCAAAATAACGCTTTCTGCTTTTGTTCCCATCCGTTCTCATGTCTTAGACCAAGAAAATGTGCATTTATCTAGTTACTCTAAGACCACTTTAGCTTATCGAAAGAGAAACTCCACTTTAACAGTTTTGGCCTTTAATCCATCTATCCGGTCAAAGAAACCACATACCTGAAGCGGACACGTCTAAGCTCCCGAGTGCCACCAGGGAGTGCTCTAATAGTGATGTAAACCCCTGGTTCATCCTGTTCAACCCATTCAGATTCCATGTCACTGGCATTACTGATGGAGAGCTCTCCAGAGCGATCTGCCTCTCTCGATGAACTAGTCCTAACAGAGCCATCTACTGATGATGTCTCAGTCTTGGCTCCACTAATACTGCAGAGTTTTGGTGTTGAAGCAAGTGCAGCTGAGTCATAGCATTGACGGGATTGTGTTGGGTGATGATCCAGGGAATCTGATGAAGAATAGCCCATTCCTGTTGGGCGGACAAAGTTGCGCGGGCGTTCTTTGTTCAGGGGTGGAGTCACAGGACTGTCCTTTGCAGATTCAATTCTAGAGCCCTAGAAGGGAAGGACAACAACTAACTTTAGAAACCAAAAAACTTATGGACATGTCATTTCACTAAAAGTAAGACAATTATGGTGATCTTTGCATGAAATTCCAGGGTAGCAATTCCATTATGCAGGGAGTAAACCCCAAAGTGGGCAGTATGACATCAAAGAATGATATTGATTGAAACCTTGAAAATGTTAAACCTGTAAGTTGGCTGAAAAATCAAAACCAAAGAGATAAGATCCTTCAATCATGGACTGATTGCATCTAGTTTAAATATGGTACTCAAATATATCTAATGCAATTTCTTACTTTCAAACCTAATGGTGTAAGAGTCCAATCCACATCCCAAAGCATGTTAAAGGAGTTTTTCGTAGTTTACCACTTAAAAATAGATAGAATAGAGTTGAAAAAGTAAGAACTAGGACTTCACCAACTCATGCTAAGGACAACAAAAAGATAAAAAATACACGCAGAAAAGAAGCTTACTTCGTCTTCGGATCTTGGGGGAGTTGGAAGTGGGACTGCTTGACGATTAAAGCGTTGAACATTGTATAATTCCATGACCTTGTCATAGTTCTCTGCCCACCATCTTTGAGCTTGCCATTTATTAAACATTTCACGGCTGATTAAATTAACAAAAGGATAGATTAGCACTCCAGGCAATCAACAAGAAGCCTTAGAATGAAAGAATAGCAGAAGCTGATAATGGCAGTATTGAAGTTTCAATATCCTTGAAATGACAAGTTTGCAACAGATGAAATGAACAAATAGAACAGAATTACAGAAGCCAAGTGCTTTGATAATTACACTTGAACCCATTAAAAAGATAGTTGTCTATCAGAAGAATAAAAGAAGCCGAGTGCCTTGATAATTACACTAGAAGCCATAAACAAGATAATTAAGAACAGCATTTGGCATTCAAAATGTCATCAAGAAGAACCAGGTGATTAAGAGGCAAAATCATTATGTTAAAGAGGCAAAGTCTTAGATGTTTAAGTTCCCAACTGATAATATAAAAGCCAAAATACTCTTTGTGCAAAATATGCCATCAATTTAGCAGCATAATTAGCAGATAAAAAGTGGGTCTGTTAATAAAGCCAGGAACAACCATTGCAAATATGCAATCTGCTGCTTTCACATATGGCAATCACCTTCACTCTTCAAGTGTGGCTAGTATAACCAATATTTTCTAGACCAAAGACAGACATAAGAATGTTAAAAGTGCAATATAAGGACAAAACTGAAAAAAAGAGTAACTGAAAAGAAGTGTGATTTTTTTCCCTTTCAAAATTTCTGATAAATATTATATCATCATTTCTGTATATTATGGAAGATGAGATCTCCATATGTATCCATTCCTAATAGCTAAAGAAGCAAGTTTATCAAAATATTAGGAGATGATGAAAAAAAAAAAGAAATAAACCAGCTAATATACAACCAGAAATATATGATCTTATCTGTTCATAATCTTCTGTCAAAATATACACTTTGAAATTATAAGATGGTGGGGAAATTCATATTATTATAAACCATTGGTGCTTAAAAACTGAAGATGTCAAAGTTCCTATATGAGAAGCACAAAGGAAGGGAAGATGATATACTGATGGAGATTGTCCAAAATTCCCAAAGGAATTAAGAAATGAAAAGCTTTACATAATTCACACGATTTTTTGGCCCTTAAAAGAACAACTGTTAAATTACAAGCAATGACTTTATGTACAAAAGGACATTTTCTTGTGATTCTAATAAATGCTCTGTCTGGTCACTATCATCAAGTAATGTAAATTTTGCCAGTGATCTCCCCAAAGGACAAAAGAGAATTGTATGTACCAACATCGCATGTGAAGAAGACATTTCTTTAGTCCTTTAGTGTTACACCAGATAAACGAATCAGTGTACTGCCATCAGAAAGGTCATATAGAACATGGCCTTAGTGTCATCTCAAGTTCCAGTTAACTCTTGTGCATGCCAAGATTACAATACAACCCACTGTCCAAGGATTGAATGGTTTAACCATCTAGCTTCGATTGAATTTTTTTAGGCAGGAGACAAAGGACTTATTGCCCTTAGCAAAGCATAATTCACTGGAAATACCAAAATGCTATAATGCAAGTGGGCCAAGCCATAAAGTGAGAACCATATATGGGGCCACTTTAATGATGCTATATAGATTTTCACTCATCAAACCTCACATGAAAATTTAGTGCAACAGTCACACACATAAAATGACAAAGGATAATGTCAAAATGCCCCAA